TGAAAAGGCCAGGAATACCTGTCCAGGAAGTTGTTGGGGAAAATGAAGTCATACAGATGGAAGCATTTCAAGAGAGCTAAGCGTCTTACATCTATGCATGGTTTCCTTTTTCCTTCCTTCTGTTTCTTCCTCCCTCCCTTCCCATCCCCCTTTCTTCTTCCCAAGTGTCTTGTATATAGTTTCAATGCACCTGCAAATAAAGGCTTTCTCACTTGTTCCTGCTAATATGAAGTCATGGCTTTGACAATCCAATAATCCCAGCAAACCTGGAAGTCAGTGCTATTTAATTTTGTAATAGTGCTTTTATTTTCCTCCAGCAGACTAACTTTGCAAATTACTGTTGCTCAAGTTAAAGCAATGGTGCTTTTCCCTTACAGACACAAGGTGTGGGGGCCATACTGGTAACAAAGCCAGCAATTAATAGAAAATTTATATCAGACACTCCACAAAGTAAATGCTATGCATATGATTGCAGATCAAATTCTCGTTTTATCACACAGGCCTATTAGTCTACTGTAATGAAGTTTTGTAATAAATATACCACTAACACTCACATTTCCTGGATTCAGGATGTCAAGAGGAACTAGGGCTCATTCCTGCCTCATCTGGCAGCTCTGAGAGGGGGCAGAGTTCCTCCATGCCTTGGTCACTGCTACATTCCCAGCACTTGGCACAGGACCTGGCAGAGTCCGTGCCCGATAAATAAATGTTGGAGAATGAATGAAAACAGCAGTGGATGGATTGACAAATGAACTGTTCCCAAGCAAGTGGCAGAAGTGTGATCTCACCCATCTTCACACCTAGCCTTTTCCTATCCAGAAGCCCTCAGGAAGCCTCTCCTATCACTTACAGCCTTCAGCCATGGCTGAATTAGGTCTCCTGTAATGAATTCTCATGGCAGGCAGTAGTTTTTCTCTTTAGCACTTAGGATAACGATAACTAAATATGGATTTGTAAATACTTTATTATTGTACAAATGTGTGTGTGTGTACGTGCACGAACATGTGTGAGCACTCGCATGCATGCGCATGTGAGCACGCACACACACAAGGGGGACAATTTTCTTTCTATGGCATTTGTGCAGAGGTCAGAGGGTTTTGTTGATTCTGTATATTCTAGGGATCAAACACAAATTTCAGACTTTCATGGCAAGTGGTTTTTACCCACTGAGCCCTCTTACCAGCCCTACATAAAGATTTGTGTCTGCCTCCACCATCCATTAAACTAGAAACTCCTTTGAAGAAAGAAGCCACACACAGACGGTTAACACTGTAATATTTCTTTTCCTCCTCCTCTTCCTCCATTCCCTCCCTCCCTCCCTTCAGAGTTTCTCTGTGTAGTCTTTGCTGTCCTAAAACTTGCTTTGTAGAGTAGGCTGGCCTCAAATTCACAGAGCTCTCTAAGACATGCACCACCACATTCAGCTCCTCTAACCTTTTTGACAAACCTTAAAGGCACAGAAAAGATGGGAATCTATATGATTGCCCATATCCCCCTGATTTGGATTCAACACTTTTTCACTATTTGGAGCCATGTAAACTTTCTTCAGCACTATATCCTCAGATAGATCCATGGGGTTTAGTTTTTCTTTTTCTTTCTTTTTTTTGGGGGTACAATTATTACTTTTAGTGTTTAAGAATTAAGGAGGAGCTTCAAGAGGGAAACCCTGAGTTAACTGCTATCCATGGGCTCCATGGCTGACAGGTGAAAGTCTGTCTCGACTCAAACAAACAAACAAACAAACAAAAGATGTCGTAGATAATTGTCACTAATTGTTCTGTTTTTTCGAGACAGGGTTTCTCCGTGTAGCCCTGGCTGTCCTGGAACTCACTCTGTAGACCAGGCTGGCCTCGAACTCAGAAATCCACCTGCCTCTGCCTCCCAAGTGCTGGGATTAAAGGCATGCGCCACCACCGCCTGGCACTTGTCACTAATTGTAAGACCAGAATGCAGAAGCAATCTTCTTCTCAATGGTAGGTGGCAACTTGAGGACAGCTGCTCCAGGCCAACCCTGGCTATGACAACTCTTGTTGTCCTTGCAAGATCGTTCATTAGGTACAGTAGCTTGATGAACTGTAACTGGACAAAAGCAACACTATTCCCATTGTGGGTACAATTTGCTCAAGCTAGTGATTTCTGAAGCACAGTACTTACAGTCTGAACCAGAAATGCGACATTGAGCTAAGAGACAGAGCTTTTGGTGACTGCACTGTGCCCTCCTAGGTCACCCTGGACATGTCAGTCACATAACCTCTCTAAATACAGAGCAATGACAGTGCAAGTCACCTCATAGGTGGGATCTTTTATTATTTCTTTAATTATCTCAGCATCCACAATTTGTGTCTCCAACTAGGCTAGAACCTTGAAAGTCATGTATGCTACTTTTTTTGGTATGGTTGACAAGGGCTGGCTGTATAGTACTATTCACATCAGTCAAACAAGTACTCATATATAGTCCTGTCATGCACAATCCTTTCTTGTGTTCATTCAGATGGGATGCAACTGAATTATAAATTTCCAAGAGGCATACATACCCAAATGTAGGCCCTACTCAACAACTGCCATGCCTGTTTTGCCACTAACAATGTTTGATGACAGTGACCCTCCAGTGAATCTGTGAAGACACTGAAACGCACATACCAAGACATTCACATGCCTCAGAATTTACTAAGAAGAACTTCTAAGCTTGCCACACGTAGCCTGACTCTCTTGTCTTCTCTTCCCAAGCCCTAGACACATACTCCTTTGAAGAAATCAGAAGCAACCAGCCACTCAAAGTCTCTTGAGTTAATTCCAGCTTCCCCTGGTGAATTACAACTTTTTGCAGACACAAAGGAAAGCAGAGAGACAAATGACACATAAATAAGAGCTTCACTGGCTTGAGGGAGGGAAGCATGGAGAGTGACGTCAGTTTTCCCAGAAACCCATTTATCACGATAACAAAGTCTCAAATGCTTAGGCTGCTCCAGAATTTGCCATACAATTATGTTTTTCAGTTTACAATGTGGTAAGGCAAGCCAGAGCAAACTGGAGCCACCCCAAAGCAAATCAAGGGACCCCAAACCACTCCTTGCTGCCCTCTTCATCTGCAGAACAAAGGTGGTCTCTGGATTGTTTGAGTTGTGCCTAAGGTGAAGTAACCTTCTGGAATGTTCTCCCTCACCAACATTAGCCTTGCAATCCTAATCCAGGCAAGGAAGATTGGTGAGGGCAGGTCAATGCAAATTCATTAGAGCAAGAAAAAAAATCATTGGTGTTGTGGTTTTTTGTTTGTTTGTTTGTTTGTGTTTTGTTTTTTGGTTTTTTTGGTCACTAAGGCTAGAGCAAGTATAATCCAGGAAACGGATTCATCTTCTTAAAACTATAGCATCTTTAAAACACAGATAAGAAAATCACCCTGGTTGTCCTCAAAACATTAGAGGCAACAGATATCACGGTGTCAACCTTGAGAAATCTCTCAAATTCCATCATCATCAAGTAGTGTTTCATATCTCTGCTTCTACCTTCTACACCATGGCTGGGTGAGGAGCGCGGGGCTGGGATGTGCACGGGGTAGATTAGGTTTCGAATAAAGGACCCTGTCCTTCCAAAGCCAGACAGGAAATGGAATAAACTTCTTTATCTGTCGAGAAAATGCTATCAGATTCTCGATTCAGATTTAGAAAACAAATCAATTGCAATTACACCAACTCCTCAGAGGCTGCTCCCCATCCCTCCTTTTGCAAGGGAGTCACATTGCACAGGCTGTTTCTCTAAATAAATGGGGGGTTACAGGGTTATCATTTTTCATCCAGCCGTATTTGGGGTAGTGGGTTCTGCCTGGCTGCCTTCTACCTCATTCTGCTTCAGCCTAGCGTGCTGGTGTGCTGGTGGAATTGTTCTCACCACTTTTCATCTCCCGTTGTAACCAAACTTCGGACCTAAAACAAACAAACATGCGATCTCAGGTTCCCCGGTCTGATTTCTCTGCACATCTCAGGCTGGAAAACTTTAGTTTTTAAAATGATTTTTTTTCCCTCCAGAGTTGATCGCTACCAAAAGAGAGAGAATACTGCTTTTGCAAGTCTCACACTGTTCTCTTCGGTCTCTACAGAAAGATGTTAGCGCCACAGGTTTTAGCATAGAAGCCCATGTACACTGAACCTAAGACCGACGCTCATGGAACCGCTCAGAAACGTGCCAAAATAAGCAACCAGCCACCTACAGGCCGGGGTGAACTGCATCCCTCCCTCCCTCCCTCCCTCCCTTCCACAGATACACAAACGGACCCCACAGGACACAGCACAAGTGGACCCAGCATTCGAACACAGAGACACACACCATAGAGGTGAGCACACAGAAACAGGCCGACTCATTCAGGGTCACATAACCCTGCCACGGGGAAGGCAGGAGGGCGCGCATGCACATATATGCATACACGCTGATACACAGACAGACGCAGTCACATATGTAATGCATATGGAGAAACCCTACTCCAACCAGTCATCTCCCCGCCCCCCTCATCACACTCTGCCTTAGGTTCCGGGCTACCCCCAGCTCCGCGCCCCTCTTTCTGAGCAAGCTGGAGTCCCAGTAGGCAGTTGTGGCTGAGGCTCTCCCAAGCTAAGGGGACAGGGGCTTCGGAGGGCTCCGGACTCATGCTGCCATTCATTCGGCAACGCCCCAGCGGCGGGGCCGCAGCTGCAGCAAGGGAGGCGGAGGCGCTCACTGCAGCTCTCTCCGGCGATGCAAGTTCAGCTGCCCGCCAGGACGCTTCTCCAACCGCCCCCCACCCTCCCGCCACCACAGGTCTCCAGGACTTGCTCGGGGAAAGAGTAGACTGAGCCGCTGACCCCAGGAGCAAAAAGTCCCGCCTTGCCTCTTTGCTCCAGGATGCTACCCCATTGCCCTCCTCGTGGTAGCAGTGGTAGCCGAGAGCCGCAACCAAGTCTGCCCGGCCGTCCCCAGCCCCACACCCTCAACCCCTAGCTCAGGGACTGGTACCCAAGCCCTCCACTCACCACCTGGCGAGCTATATCGGCCGCTGCCATCGCTCCTTGGTCCGCCAGGGCTGCTACGGGTGCCTCCGCAACGGGAGCTCTGCACAGGAAACAGAAGAGCTCCTCCGACAAAGAGAAAGTGTTACACTTCGGGCGCGACCAAGTCTGGTGGAGGGAGGTGCCAGGGAGGGGCCCCCTCACCGCTGCTCCAACCCCAACCTCTCCTCTATCACCCACCCCCTCAGAGTAGGTGTAGGGAGGGGACGGATTGGCCGCGCTGCCTTCCCCTAGGGCGAGCCCAGTTCCAGTTCTCTCTGCAACCCGAGTCTCGGCCTCTGTGAAGGGGGCGGGGGCTCCCCTCGGTGACCACGTCCTCCGCCCCCCCCTCCCTGCCGCTACTGGGCTCCGTGGTACGTCCCGACCTCTGCTGAATTGTCACACACACACACACACACACACACACAGAGAGACACACACACACACACCCCTGTTTTCCCTCACATCCCTGAGCCCCCAGACCTGAGGCTAGAAGGGTGTCCCGGCCCCTCCCCCTCCGGCTCTCTGCTCCTAGGCTATCTGCAGTCCTCTTTCTTTTCCCAGCCCCCATAACCCCTCGTGCTCCCCACTGAGAACCCTGGGTGCTTGCGTGGGAGCATTGGCCTCTGGAGTCTCAGTGCTCCCCTGTAGTCCACCCTAACTAATTGTGTTATCTCTTTGGGTTGGGGAGGGGCGGGGGCAGGGCAGGGGTTGCGGCACCTGCAGCGCCACCACATTACAGCTTAGAAATGGAGCATTAATGGGGGAGCTGCACTGCAGCCCCACAACTGAGCTGTGACTTGTGGAGGACATCTCTCCTGTCCTGAGGTGCCCAAGCCTCCACCGCAGTCGGCTGTATTTTCCATGGAGCCCAGCTCCCCACTATTGTACCTAATAAAAACTGACCTCACTGATCCCACTCTGGTCCCTGCTCTCAGTCTGAACAGAGCAGAGATGCAGAGCAGTCCACCTTTTAGGTTAGGGAGCCGGAAGGGAGTCTAAGAATGGGAACTGAAGGTCTCTAGCTCTGTTGAGGCGGATGCAGATACAGAAGGGGTCATCGTTCTGTCCAGTTCCAATTGCTTTTCAATACCAATTCAGCCCAGGACTATATGGCTGACCTGGGACAGCTCATAACATCCAAACGCTAAAACTACGCCTGCCTGCTCTCCTTTTTCTCCGAGCTAACTAACTGCTATTGGTGGTCCTCTCCTTAGCATCTTTCCCCACCTCTCCAGCCCTGAAGTCCACCCCTCTCCCCTTCTCTCTGTCTTGGGATTGGCTCTTTGTGATCGATGAACTTGGCATGATATGGTTTGTCAAAGGCCCAAGTGTCCCCTCACTCCCCTCATAATGATAGGATCTTAGGTCTTTCTCTTAAGGAAGGGACAGCAGAAAAAAAAAAAAGAACCAGGGAGAGGCATCTCACACAAAGGCCAGGCCTAGAGAGTATAGGAGAGCAGAAGCAGGAAACCAAAGTGTCCACAAAAGAACTGCCCTGGTCCTGCATTGCTCCTGGCAGTGAATGCTTCTTGTCTTCTGTCAGGGGGCTCTTCAAGTGACACATACACCATGAGCACGAGGACTCTCTGAAACGCATCCCCAGTGCCTAAAGTGGCATCCCATTAAGTGATCCCTGTTCCATCACTGTTCTAGACACTCAAAAGAATGGGCTAAAGAGAAGGGTCTGGAACAATCAGAGACCACGGGGTGGGTGACAATATCAAGGAAGAGGAACAGCTGTAATTTCTGAGACCCTCAGGAACACTTGGGGAAGGCCTAGGCCCTGGTTTGCTAGAGCACAAACACATAAAGCCAAGACTAAAATTGAGGAACTGCTTTAAGCCTTGGGCCTCAACCGGATGGGGATGGGGAATCAGAGGTGCTGGCTGCTTCCAGGCTAGGCCTCCAGTAGGTAGACCTTGAGTCTTCCCTGACAAAGGCTGGTATGTGATAGATGACAAAGGGCACAGGCCAAGCTCTGATATTGGCATGGGATTTGGCTGAAAACAGAGTTAAGAGCTGCTACCAGGTGGGTTGAGGTGGATGGAGACCATAATGGGGTTGTGGGGATCCTGTGAGGAGTCCTGCCTGCCTCTGACCCCTACACACACATAAGGCCTCACAGCATTGGGGACACTTCAACACAGATACCTTGGAGCCCTACAGAAGTGGCACACTCAGCTGCCTGTCCCTAGAGGGGATGAAAACCTGAACAAGATCTCCTTACAATGCAGGACCTCCTAGCCTGAGATAGAGTATGTAATTCAAATCTCCTGCAATGCCTTTGTTCCTTCCCTCCTTCCTTACCTGCTGTCTGCGTCTACAAAGAACGTTCAGTTCTACAGAAGTTTTGGAAACGGCTTGAATCTGTGCTTCTCAGTCTTTGGTCCGGGTTATCTTCTCAGGCACAGGGGAGGCAGAAAGACTGAGGAGATAAGAGATATCACAAATGGGCAATTGGTAAGTTTTATTCCTTCTCTCCTCCTTTCTTGATAGGGAAAAAAAACTTCAGGAAATTAAAAGCAAAAGCAAGAGCAGAGGTTACGGGGAGAAACTGGGCAGTTAAGTGAGTTGGTAGAGCACCTGCCTAGCATACAGGAAGCCCTGGATCTGATTCCCAGCACCACGTAAATCAAGTGTAATCCATCCCACATGCATATGCTCTCAGCACTTCAGAAGGGGAAAGTGGGAGAACTGCACGTTCAAGGTTATTCCAGCTACAAGTCAAGTTCAAGGCAAGCTTAGGCTAAGTGAGATTCTGTCCCCGTTATTTTTTTTAAAGAAGAAGGATGGGGAGGCTTTTTGTAATGAGGCTTTTTGTGAAGATGAATTTTCAGACTCATAGGCACTTCCATGAATGTATGTGCACGTATGTTGTGGTGTCTTTGTAGCACCCTGGCTACCAAAGCCCAGCACAGTGCAGTAGTGTCAGACAGGTACTCAGTCAAAGGCTACTGAGTCAAGAAATTAACAGAGGCGTACAAATAAACTGTTTTTATATTTCTACTTTTCTTAAGGAAGCTAGAGTAATCCACAACTTCTCTTCTGCCTGAGAGGGGAGATGACTCCCTGCTAGATAGGAATTGGGTCCGAATTGGACCCAACATTCACAGTCAAGCTTTACAGAGATCACTGTGACTGCTGAGGTAGGTCACTAATACTGGATAGGATGGCGGATGGGGGGAGGGGGCACAATAGTGACGTGCAGCCAAAAGCTCAGGAGGAAAAAAACTTATCCTGAAATTATCCTGAAATGGAGGCTCTGTGAAAGGAAAAAATGAAGGCCGGTGGAACAGGTCTCACATGAGTAGAGAAGCCTTTAGAATGATCTAAGATAAGGAAGTTAAAGAAGAAAGCAAACCAAAGTGTTCAAGACAATAGCAACTGTATGAGAAAGTCAGGTAAAAACTGGAAGCCAGATGGTGGTGGTGCACGCCTTTGATCCCAGTGCTCAGGAGGCAGAGCCCGGCAGATCAATGAGTTCAAGGCCAGCCTGGTCTTCAGATGGAGTTCCAGGACAGCCAAAGTTACACAAGGAAACCTTGTCTTGAAAACCAAAACAAAACAAAATGAAACAAAAAAAAGCTGGGCATGGTGGCACATGCCACATGTTATCGGATAAGTAGTAAGGAAGGCAGTTTGGAATTGAGGATATAGTTCGGTTGGTAGAGAGTGCCTGCATACCGTACCCAAAGCCCTGGGTTCTAGTGACCCTAGCGTTGCAAAAATCGGGCATGGTGGCATGTACCTGTAAATCCCAACATTTGGAAGGAGAGGCAGGAGGATCAGAAGTCCAAGGTCGTCATCAACTACATAGTGAATTCAAGGTCAGCCTTGGTTACAGGACACCCTATCTTAGATCATAATAAAAGCATGCTTAAGAACAGGAGGGACCCTGAGTTCAATCCTGGAATCTACATCGTAGGAGAGAACCCAGTCTTTCATTTGGTCTTCTGATCACCACAAGCACACCATGGCATACACACACACACACACACACACACACACACACACACAGAGAGAGAGAGACAGAGAGAGAGAGACAGAGAGAGAGAGAGAGAGAGAGAGAGAGAGAGAGAGAGGGAGGGGGGGGGGGGGGAGGGAGGGAGGGAGAGACCTTTTAAAGAAGGATATAAATAGGGAAGTTAGCTGGATGGGTGAACAAGTCGAGGCACTAACAACTTTAATTAATTAATTCTATGAGGTCATAAGAGAGAATAGACTCCTGAGAGTTGTTCTCTAACCTCCACATGTGTGCCATGGCACAAGTACACCTGTACAACACACACACACACACACACACACACATGAACTAATAAGTAAAATTTGGGAGAATAAAAAGAAAGTTAGGGAGGAAAGAAACCATGAAGGAAGGAAGGAGTCCAGGTTATAGGTATAGTACAGTATCAGCATGCAGGAAGCTCTGGGTTTGATTTTCAGTACAGCAAAGAAAAATAAAGAAGTAAAAGAGAAGAGAATGTTTAAGAAATTCCAGATCTTAAACAGAAGGAGTGGGACAAGGAGCCAATGGCTTTAGAGAGACAGCAAGAGAAGATGGGACCATGTCTGGAAGAGCTGTGTTGATGGTGGCAAATTGCTTGGGCTTTTTGCTCCAGAATAGAGGTGCTCAGGATGGATGGGCTGTCTAAGGAGAATGTCTATCCAGTGTCTCAGTGTGTGCCTGGCACAAACGAGATACTCCTAGAGAAATGAAAAAAACAAAGTTAATGGGTAAAATTTTCTTTTTTAAAATTTTTTTTGATGTAGTTCTTTCCTAAATATTTGAAGATGCCCCTACTTATCACCTAGTGAGCATCCAAATGAATGGATGAATAGTAAATGAATATTAAACAGACAATCCCACTGCTGATCATGCTTAAGTCAACAGTTTATTTTTTCGTGGACATCTGTGCTTGTGGCTATGATTTTATATTGCACACACACAATGTAGACATATTTTCCATTCACAGAAGTGTTCTATAGAAGAAAAGCATTTTATTTCATATGTGCAATTTAATATATCAATTATGACATAGCATTCTAGAAAGGACACCCTGATACCCAGATGTTGTGTTACCTGAACC